AAACTGTCAGCGATGACAATAAGGCAGGAAGAGGTGTATTTCCTTCTTAAATCGCTTGACCAAGAAAAGGCTGTGGGCCCAGACAAGTTGAGCCCAAGATTGCTGAGAAAATGTGCAGACCAGCTAGCAGCACCTCTAACTCGCATCTTTCAGCACTGCCTAGTACAGTGTAAATGGTCTTCTCTGTGGAAAGAGGCAAATGTAGTCTTTGTTCATAAAAAGAAGAGCAGAGCAGAAATCAGCAACTACAGACCAGTGTCACTCCTGTCAATCACTGGCAAGCTCCTTGAGACGATAATCTCAAGACAAATGACAGAGTTTTTTGACTACCACTCACTACTTTGTGACCGTCGATATGGCTTCATGAAAGGTCACTCTGCTGCTGATCTGTTGTTAAACCACTTCACTAAGTGGCACCAGTCTCTGGATGAATCCAAAGTCAGCCGTGTGGTAGCACTGGACATTGCTGGTGCTTTCAACCGGGTGTGGCACCAGGGCCTCTTAGCAGAACTGCAAGCTCTGGGAATCGCAGGCTCTATGCTATGTCTCTTCAGTGATTACCTTCATGGTAGATCTCTAAGGGTAGTTCTCAATGGAACAGAATCAGCAAGACATCCTACTGGGGCAAGTGTTCCACAAGGAAGCATGCTGGGACCATTGTTATGGAATGTCTACTTCAGTGACCTTCTTCATCTCATCCCAGAATCTCATGCATATGCAGACGACTGTACACTGACATTCACTTATCCAAGAGAAGAAATGCCAGCTGCTCTATGCTGCATCAATCACCAGCTAAGAGCTATATCAGCTTGGGGAAATAGATGGCAAGCAATATTTGCACCTGAGAAAACACAAATGATGATCTCTAGGCACCATGATGGTAATGCTGGTGCATTAGTAAGGATGAATGGGAGGTTGTTGGCACCTGGGGAAGAAGTTGATAACCTTGGGGTGAAATTTGACTATAAACTGACCATGAAAAACCACGTTGTAAATCTTGCAAACAAGGCAGCCAGGAGCTTACAGCACTTTGCTGTATCTCGCATGTGCTTGACAGCAGGGGTTGCAAGATTTTGTATGAGGCACAAGTATGATCATACTTTGAGTATGCTCCGCTTTCTTGGTTCGCCTGCCCCCCTTCTCATCTGTGACTGCTTGACAGAGTAGAGAACAGAGCAAGACGTCTCATCTCTCGCCTGGACCAATCCTGGATAGATCTGTCATTTCAGCAGAGCCTTCAACACAGGAGGGATGTGGGTGGCCTTACTGTTATGTACAAGGCCAATATTGTCAAAAGTACCACACTTGGATCCACTTCGAGGACAGCATGAAGCAAGCTTCTATACCACAAGACGGACAGAAAGCAGCAACTTCACTCTGGCTGTACCCTTCTCCAGAACATCACTTCACCTGAGATCATTTATCCCCAGGATGACTAGTATGGAACACATTCGTACAGCATTATGATGTCAACGAGATAAAGTCAGTTGATCAGATGAAAATGCTGGCCCACAGATGGCTCCAACTTCATCCTGTTCCCTACTTGTATGTTTCATAACAATAAAAATGCTTTCAAATGAGCTGATGTAGGTAACAGCTCTTAGCTTGTCATTAAAGTTAGGAATCATTAACCTGTAAATAGCTTGTCAATAAAGCTAGGGATCCTTAACCTAACCTTGCCAAACCCTGTGTAAAGAGAGTGAGAGAGAGAGAGAGAGAGAGAGAGAGAGAGAGAGAGAGAGAGAGAGAGAGAGAGAGAGAGGAGTGAGTGAGTGAGTGTGTGTGTGTGTGTGTGTGTGTGTGTGTGTGTTACTCACCTAGTTGAGGTTGCGGGGGTCGATTCCGAGCTCCTGGCCCCGTGTGTGTGTTGTGTGTGTGTGTGTGTGTGTGTGTGTGTGTGTGTGTGTGTGAGTGTTAGTTACCATTTTGTCCTAGGCACATGTCAATTAGACACTAGGCCTGTTGTATATAAGTGTGTGTGTGTGTGTGTGTGTGTGTGTGTGTGTGTGTGTGTGTGTGTGTGTGTGTGTGTGTGTGTGTGTGTATGTGTGTGTGAATGCATGAATGAATGAATGAATGAATGAGTACGTAAGAGAGGACAGGTGCAGAGTTTTGTAAACAAACCAGGCGTATGCGTCTGGTTAGTGTACAAGTTACATTGTGTACAAATTGTCTCCACGCTGATACAGTAGAATAAATAAAGAGCAACACTCCCTCACTCATGTAACACCATTTTTAGAAGAAATGATGCTCTGAGTGAAGGCATACGAAAGGAATAATTTTCTAGTTACCCCCAGTAACACATTTTCTCTTATGTTGGACTAGAGAAAACGTTTTTCTTGCCGTCACTCATACAAGTCGTGTGTTTCCCACATCTCATATTTATGTTAATTTATTCTACTGTGGAGTGTATTTATCATGTCTATATGTTACGTATCATGTTTATTATATAATTTTGAAAAAAATTATCATTAATGGATTAATGAAAATGCGTATAGTA